CTTCCGAACGCGGGATTTCGCTGTACTTTGCGCCTCGTTCTGGCGCTGTTTGAGCTGTAGAACAGCTCAATAAAGCTTTCCGCTTTACCTTTTGTACGAAAAACTGCGATCTGCGTACAGATTTTGCAACATAACGCGACAAATCTTCGGATTTCGCGAAAACGCACTGATGACCTTCCGAGCACTGTTTTTATCACTTTGACCATGCTAACCCCCGCTCCCTGGTTTTCTCGTAACTGCCAGGCCTTATTTGTACCGATTAAAACCCTGCAAACTGTCGAATAGTGCAATCTAATTTTTTAGCAATTTTACGTGTACTTAAGGCCGGATCATTTATAAACTCGTGCAAAATGGTTTGTGTCGTTTCTAACTCGGTTGCCATTTTTAACTCAACTAGGAATCAAATTCAAATGAAATTTCTTCTACGTCCAACTAAGGTCATGTGGTCAGCTTATGGTATTTGAATTTCAAAATATTGAATTCGTTTTGGGTAAGTTATAAGCTTCCCAAAGTGTCGCAGTTTTGGTGTGTTCACCCTTTAGTTCCAATCACGATGACACTGCAATTTAAAATTTAAATGAATTCTCCATATGGTCCAGGGGTCTTGATTCAAAGGCGGGCAAAAAATAGTAAGATTTATGGCTAACAGAGCGTAATTTGCCAAAGAACGTAAAACCACTATAAAATTGTTAAAGCTGCCGGCGCGCCGCGGCGGTAGTGTAGTAGAGCTATTCCTAGTCTAGATATGAACCTCGTTGTAGGCATCATATCAAGGAGATACAATTAAAAGACTCCAGATGTCGCCCCGCCAGAAGAAGTTAAATATTGCGCCTAAATATATGCTACAGCGTAAATGGACGACACGCCATTTTTTTAATAAAATTAACTGCTGCTATACTGCCCGTCTCCACAGGATAAAGTTTATATCTTGATACATATGTTATAATATAAATAGCCAATGGAGACCGCTCATAGCTCTTCAAGAGCAAGATATATCAGAGCTTATATCTTGCCATCTATTGCCGGCAATTTGGTAGTTTGACAGCTACATTTTCATTTGCACGAAAACTTCGTGGCTGCAACATCATTATTATTTTAATATAAAAGCAAAAATTGAGCTGTTTCCTGTTAAAACATCTGTAATTATGTACTTCGATGTAAAATAGCCTATTTGCTAAATTTTTTAAGCGATTAAATCCGACAAAAATACATTTTCAAAGCTATCTTACAAATGCTTATATCAAGATATAAAAAGCCCACACAAATATTGCCACTGATATAACTTATATCTAGCGACCAAAATGACAGCTGGGCAGCAATAAATTTTATCCTGTGGAGACGGCCAGATATGTACATATGTATGTTTATACAAAACGTAAGCAAACAACATTTTGCTTGCTAAGTCTTCTGCTCTCTTTCATTGAAAGTTGAATTATTTTAATATCTATTGCAAAATTTTGTACATAAAATAAAAATGGACTAGAAATTATAAAATAAAATAATGCAAAAAAAAATATTTTTGATGTGTATACATCTTTGGTTTCGGTAGGGGTAAAATTTGCGAAGCTGTAACGCATATCCCGGCACAAAATTTGGAAGGGCTTAGCATGTGTATTTCAGTATAAAATTTTTATATTCATTAGAAGCACCATGTGTTTGCTTGCCAAATGGTTGCATACATTAAGGCATATGCATAGTAAGAGGAAATGCGCTACAATCGATCATTACTTCCGATTATTTAAACTCCACACATGCACAGCGTTGCCATTTTAGCCGTTTTCCGGCTAGATGTAGCCGGTTTTGATAGCAACTAGCCGGAGAAAATTCGATCTAGCCGGCAGCCGATTTGTTAGCCGGTTTGTAAAAAAAAGTTAGCCGATTTTACTATTTGCCTAATTTTCAGGTGCAAAAAGTAAACAAGTTGTTCGAAAGCAATAATGCAGACCCAATGAAGATTTTTAATGAACTCAATGTTTTACTTTCGCATCTATGCTCCCTAGTGGTTATTAGCGCGGACACATTTGATCCTATATGCTCCCCGTTGGAACCATACCTCGCTCCATTTCCTCAGTTTTATCACAGTTTTGAAGAGTATTTAAAAACAAAAGTAAGCACAAACGCTTTTTACCGCGAAGCCGAGAAAATAATTCGAGAAAATGGTCGCTATTTTATTATCACTTTAATAAAGGAATCACGCCAACGCCTTCCTACAAATATTGCCACACTAAAAAAATTGACTTTTTTCGGTTGGAAATGCATTAAGAGTAATTAAACCAAAAGTATTTGTTCAACAAAAACACAAATATAATGCCGACGAAATAACATCCATAGAGATGCAATGGCAACGGTTAACGTTACATACCTGGAGTAATTTAGACTCAACTGCAAAATTTTGGGCCGAAGTTTATCAATTTCGAAATGCCCTAGGAGAAAACCTTTTTGCTGACCTTTGCAACCTAGTTTTTAGTTTTCTTGTTTTGCCTATAAGTAATGCAGAAGTAGAGCGAATATTTAGTTCAATGAATATAATAAAAACTAAGCAAAGAAATCCAATGTGCGTTAAAACGTTAAACGCTATTTTATATATAAGATACGGTTTAAAACGTGAAGAAAAATGCTGCCATAATTTTACTGTAGATGACGATCTCTTAAAATTAATGAATTCAGGTGATATATACCATGATAAAAACATAGCAAGGTAGAACCGTTCTCTCAATTTGTCGGCCATGATTTTTTTTTGAAGTTTGCCAACATTTTAAAATCGTATAAAAGTGAAAATAAAAAATTGAAATTGTTCGAAATTGTTGTTGCTTGAGATTGAAAATGAAAATGTGTGTGTGAGTTTGTGAGTAAATTTAAAAATTAAATTGTTTGGAAACGTCAAGAATTTTAAAAGTGACTCTCAGCGGTTCTACCTTACTATATTTGTATCATGATATATACAATAGTGATTCATTTGATGAGGAATATACACTCGATATAAATTAATGGTGTTAACTAGTCCTTCGTTTCTTGCGATTTTTTTAAATAAAGCATGTGGATTTTCACTAAAACATTTTAGCCGTTTTTTGCCAGAGTCTATGTGAAATTTCACTAAAACATTTTAGCCGTTTTTAGCCGCTTTTTTTTGCCAATTTAGCCGGTCGGCCCAAAAAGTTCTGGCAACACTGCACATGCATTTTGATATTCGTAGATGGTGTTAGGCATAGGTTTAGTAGTCTATTTTTATCAAAGGCGAAAATTTAAAAAAATACTGAAATCATTTTAACTGGGACCGTTGATAACTGATGAACATACATGAATATATGTATGTATAATATGCATATGTATGTATGGATGATATAATAGCTCTGATCCAATACTTTTCGTGTAAAATCCTGTAAAAAGGTCAAACAACAAAATCACTCTCCGAAGTGAGAGTAAAAAGTGAGTAACAGCAAAACGTACGGAACAAAAAAGCATCGGGTAAAATCCTGCAACATGAACTGCAATTACATGAACCGCAGATTATATTCCGAAAAGAAAAACTAAATTTGGGAATATATACAAATAGAAATGCTCAAACTATAAGCTCAAAAACAATAACTGATGCGGTGTTTCCAAGATATTTTAACGCCCTTGA